TATTTTTCTAGGGACGCCTGGGTGGCTCAGTTGGTTAAGCAGCTGCCTTCGGCTCAGGTCATGATCCCAGCGTCCTGGGATCGAGTCCCACATCGGGCTCCTTGCTCATCAGGGAGCCTGCTTCTCCCTCCGCCTCTGCCTGCCATTCTGTCTGCCTGTGCTCGCTCTCTCTCCCTCTCTCTCTGACAAATAAATAAATAAAATCTTAAAAAAAAAAAACGAAAAAAAAAATATTTTTCTAGTATCTTTTTACATTGTCTTACTAAGCTAATATGCGGACTACGAAACAGCATATAGAATATACCAATTTTGTATATTTTGTATGCCAAGGAAAAAATGGAAGAACATAGATCAAAATGTTAATGGTGGTCATCTCTTACCTAGTAAAATTATAGTTGATTTTTAAAATACTTTTCCTTTATACATTTTTATTTCTTTTTCCCAGTATTTCTCCAATGAGCACATGTACCTTACTTGTACAAAAAATATAAGCACATTAATTTTTTAAAAATCCTTCCCAGGAAAGAGTATATGATACATTTCTCCAACCCAAGACTCAAATAAGTTTCTCACAACCACATGGAATAATTTACAAAGAATGGAGGAAGTGTCTTTATGTTGATTAATTTAAGTGAGAACTTTCTCAACTTGTTTGTTAACTTAGAAGATTAATATAGGATAGAACCACTGCAACAAGAAATTAATATAAGATGTAGTGTAATAGCTTCTCAAATCATTAATGTTGACTTCCTAAAAAATCTTTGTAGCACCAGTAAAAGGGATCCTGTGGTTTTAAACAGCTCTTGAACTTGCTCTCTGAGAAATTTAATCTGTAGCCCTGTGTTTAAACACACAGGATATTGTTATATAACTAAGCAGCTGGGAAGATTAATAGTGATTAAAAATAAAAAGGGAAAATACACAGTACACCAAGGCAGGACTGTTTAATGAGAAAAGGGTAACCAGAAGGAAAATAGTATTTGTACAGGGTAATGAAAAGTCAACCCACAGACGTATCAAATAAGAATAAAGACATTGTGTCTCATATTCGACTCAAAAGGTACTGCTTATCCAAAGAAATGATTACATTGGAATTAATGGAAATACTATCCATGAGCATATACACAAAATACATATATTATGGACCATTTGCGTAGTATTTATTTTCAAATTTCATGCCCATTCTTAAAAGCCAAACACCTGAATGTGTCTGTGATTCCTCCCTCCTTCCTCACCCCCTCCTTTGCAGGGGTGCCCAACAACCTCGTTTCTTGAGCGCCGCGGGCACTGCCCAGCCACCACACCTTCAACACACATTTCCAGTTCAGCCTGCACATATGAGCCCCAACGTGTTCACATTTCCTCAGAGCCCAGCCCCCCACCTCACACAACAGCATGTCCGTTCAGATACAGAGATGCAAGGAGCAGCATCAGGATTTCTGGGAGGTTCCGGGGATGAATAGAAAGACGAATAACACATTGTCATGCACCCAAACAACTTCAGCTGAGCGAGGGACCCACATATCAGCCATAGTTACAAGTCAGTTGCCTTTGGTGGAGAAAGGGGGCCATGCTTGGGAAGCCAGCCTCAGACTGGTGACCACTTGTTCTGGACCCACCACACAAATTCTCTAGCAAACGTGAGTGCTTAGAGTGAGAGTAACATGGACGCGTGAGTCAGGCCGGCTGTGAGACGACCCGCTGGGGCTGAGACCAGATGGAGAACATCCGTTCTGTCCAGAGCCACTCAATGTCTCCATCCTTTTCAGATGCCAAGCTTGCAAAATAAAATCGACCTGCAGGCCTCTTGGGGTTCAGGCTGCCCGTGTGGGACTTCTGTATAATACTGACCCATCATTTAACGTTTAGTACATCTAAGTCCTTGTTCTAGGAACTGTATGTGTGTTAATTCATGGACTCCTCACGGCCATTGAGACCGATGTTATGTTTTGTCCATTTTATAAACAGACCGACTGAGCCACTGGAGGGTTCGTGTCCCTTGCTGCGGTTGCATGGCTAGTCAGATGGTGGAGTGGGGCTCTGACACCAGCCAGCCTCAAGGCCCACACCCTTCAAAGAAGTGCTCGCAGGCACTCTGCTGCTCTGTATCTAAGCTTTTAACATTTTTTTATTCAGCTTATCATAGTTAATGATTTGGTGATCCAAATATTATTCCATTTTGTTGTTGAACAAACTCTTTCATCTGATGTACAGAGTTTTGATGGAAAAAATTCATGTCCATCTACTCATGGTTTCATAAACATAGTAACACTCCCTGCTTATCACCATCTTTCTGATTTGAAGGGTCCTGATACTGTGTTCCCCAAAGGAGAAAGCAGGCCCAGGGAAGGGTCTGGTGCTTAAAGCATTCCCTCACTCTCCAGTTCCTCCCCCTCATTCCAACCAACTGCCAATATCCTTCCCAATTCTGGGGATTAGTGGTTTCTTGCTCTGTCTTCCTTATAGGTACACACAGGACAATGCTTTCTTTTCAATAGCTGTGTAATGTTTACAACTCTGCGGATCTTTCTGGACATGGCAATCCATTATTAGGCCAGTGTCTTCAGAGAAATTCTATTTATGTGAGCTAAAACAAATCCAAGGGCACTTAGGGATTTGGTAAAACAGGCAAAATATAAACTCCCAACTCTTTGATCTTCATTCAAGTGTTTCAGTGGACAAGGGGATGTGGCCACATTTTATTCAGAGACTTTTCTAAGAACTCAGGACATTACATTGTGTTTTTACTTATGTTAAAGCCAAAATATTAGGAGTCTTACCATAGGCTATCCTTTTTGCCTCCTGGCCTTTCTTCCTACTGCTCCCTCAGCCAGGACCTCCCTACAGCTACATCCCCTCCCCAAACTCTGGCTCCTACCCAACCTTCCTAACATTGCCATGCCATGTTAGGCATGCATTCCTAACATGTCATGTCCCCTGACCTCCAAAGTGGTGACATGTCTCCGCTGTATATACCCCATGCCTAGCACTCAGTATCTATTTCAGTTGCCTATTTATTTCTCTCTCACCTAATGTATAGTTGGAACTATACTTTTTAACCTAATTCACACCTAAAATACATACAGTCATATTTACTTCGGAAAAAAGTTGTGCCCTTGAGCTTTTAAATTTGGCGGTTTATTTTACAATCTCAAGAACGGTAAAAATACATGGGTTGTGGGCTTTGGCATTGAAAGAATGTGGGTTTGGCATCCAACTCCAGTTCTAACGGTGATGTGACCTTGAACTTAACATCCATGAGGCAGTTTTATCCTTTGGAAAATAAACTTACTCTCTGTGAGGGTTAATGCATAAGGGTGCAGAGCTGTTCAAATTCACGCTCAGCTGAGTGTTTGTTAGCTGCTGTTGTATTTCTCAAGAGGAATTTAATTTTGTGAAAAAGAGATATTTAATCAAAAAGAGAGGATACTCTTTTTGTATACTGCCAGTTGGGTAGGAATTACTCAAATATATTTTATGATTTGCAACTTTACCTACACTGAGATGAATCTATAATTTATATTTAACATGTTATCTATTGCTCTCCACCTATTCAATGCCAAAATACATCTAAATGGTCTGAAAATGTATCAGACTCCTTTAAAATGCTCAAATAAAATGAAATTTGAAAAATGAATACGAATGTTGGCACCATCTAAGGGAGTGTCTTTTCTGCCATGAAGTTAATTGTACAGTAAATGTCACTGAGTAAGACCCCACTTTAATCTTTAGGAGATTGGAAACATCGGTTCATCCAAATTTCTAAGCATCAAACTTAAAACGGCTGAAGAGTATTTTGAAATTATTTACTTAGGGGTGCCTGGGTGACTCAGTGGGTTAAAGCCTCTGCCTTCGGCTTGGGTCATGATCTCAGGGTCCTGGGATCAAGCCCCGCATTGGGCTCTCTGCTCAGCAGGGAGTCTGCTTCCTCCTCTCTCTCTCTCTGCCTGCCTCTCTGCCTGCTTGTGATCTCTATCTGTCAAATAAAAGAAAAAAAAGTTATTTACTTAATAGTAAATTGGCTTCTGAGCAAGTAAAGAATCCAGTAATCCACTTCATGCTTAAACCCTGCTTTTTAAGACCCTTGGACAGGAACCCAGATGCTCAGTAGCTGATTGCTGCCAGATTTAACCTGCGAAGACAAAGAGACAATGCTTACTAACGAAGAATGTCTCTAATGAACTCAACTCAGATCCCAAGAGGAAATGGGGTTCCATTTCCTTGTACTTGCCTCGTTTAGATAAGCTAAAAGGTTCTCTAAAGCCACAGAATTAAACAAGAGGATATTCCTTCAGCATCCGTTACCAACTAAGAGTGTATGAACATATACAAGCACAGTGCACATTCGCACAGGTCCACGTTCACTAATCTCTCATTTCTCTACTTGCTCTAAGTCAGAAGCCATTCTAGGTGCTGTGGGACCCCTCAAGCAGCTCCCAGTTTGAGTTTCATTTGCAAAAATGTAGTATTTTAAGCTATCACTAATTCACCATTCAAGTGGGCACTAACTCGAACCAAAGGTTTAGGAGAGAGGAGATGGGGCGACAGAACACCAGAGGCGTGAGTGGGCCGCAGACAGGACCCTGACAGGGCAGGAAAAGGACACAGCCATAATCCTGGGGTTGGGGGTCAGAGACTCAGACGGCAGTTCTGCCAACTACCAGCAGTGCACACAGTTGAGTTTTTTTGCAGTTAGTATGTACTTGATGATTGGCGATTTTTTATTTACCAAAAAAAAAAAAATCCTTATTTCTTTTTAAATATCAAATGAGAACCACTGATGAAAGTATATAGCACAGAGCTTATCACTGGGAAGCTCAACTAGCATAACTAGTTTTTAAAAATGTCATATCCCCCCTTAAAAAGATGTTATTTAATTGAGAGGGGGAGAGAGAGAGTGAGCATGAGTACAGAAGAGGCAGAGGGAGAAGCAGACTGAGCAGGGAGCCCCACCCGGGACTCAATCCCAGGACCCCGAGATCACTACCTGAGCCGAAGGTAGACGCTTAACCGACTGAGCCACCCAGGCACCGCATAGTATCCCCTTTGTGAATGCTCAATACAATTTCGGTAATATACTTTACATTAGTACAGATTTTGTTAATACCGTTTCGGTCACAATCATGATAACGCCCAAGGACAGACAGTAACGCAGCAGGGTTAACAAAACAAAAGCTTTCAAGTCAGCCAGACCTAAAGTCAAATTAAGGTTCTAGCTCTGGACAGCCATCGAGCTTACCTTAAGGAAGTTATTTTCTCATCACGGGTAAATTTGCAGAGTTGTAAAGATGAAATGTTTGGGATATGAAGCCATTAACATAGTGACTGACATTCTTCAATATTCACTTCACTCTCCGTGACCCCGAAGGAAAGGTATTTCCTAGCTGGACTGGCCCGCTGAGTGTGGCTGTTCCACAGGCAGACGATGGTCACCTGAGCTCCCAGCCGGCCTCCAAGGGGGAGGAAGGGAGGAGGCGGGCCTGCTTCCTGCCCCCTGGTGGCTGAAGGGCAGCCTGCAGGCTCAGTGCAGCTAAAACCACAGGCCCTCCGGGACTCCGACTTGACAGAGAGCGCGCATCACAATGGGTCTGGGCTGCTGGGGACAGAGGTGGTGCCCCTGGCAGGATCTGAGCAGCATCGAGGTGCCCTCGCCCCCCAGCAACGTTTCATTGGTCTGTGAACTACGTACAGCCAACCTGAAAATCCGCTTTCTCGTCATGTAAACAGTCAGTTCCTGTTGTTTGCAAACAAGGACCCTAACCAGTATACTTAACCAGTATACTTCTGTAAAATTAAAAAAACTAAAGAACAGTGCCATAAAATTATTTTAATATCTGTTTCTCCATGACTGAATATACAATGATAATGGAAGTAACGTATTCTTCTGCTGTAAAGATGGGTGGAATATGTCAAAATCCACCCGCTGAATTTTCTTTAAGTAGTCCTCCAGGGCAACCTGGAAAACGAGAGTAATAGTCATGAGGTCACAGAATGATTAAGGTTTTTAAAGAAATTAAAGAAAAGGTCTAAGTATTAAGGCTATTTTAGTTTCCCTGAGATGGTCTTCCATGTACTAAGAATTTAAATGAGAATTTTAAAAGGGAGAGAGAAAATAAAGACATCTAAGAAGTTTCTATTAGACCAGTAAAACAGGACCAAAGAGCTAATACTAGAAATAACAACTCAATTCTGGTCATAACTTACAGAATGTAAATTTATTATAATTTATGTTTTACACAAAATATGTAAAATATTACAGAAACTATTGTTTGTCAGGTGTTATTACTAGATTCTGTAGAAAACAGAAGGGGTGTTTTAATCAAGGACACTGAACGCCACCACCACCGCCCCCTCCCTGCCTGCACAAATGCATTGTGCTATGAGGACAAGCTTAAGTTGTTTGTTAAAAAAATTATTTTGTGGAAAAGTTTAATGGGTCTCTATGTTCTTGTTAGAAAACAATCTGCAACCTGGGAGAACCACCACAGGTTCCCTATAAATGTCACCCCATGCTTCCCCCATCACACAAAACTTCATTAAGCTTTCGTGGGGGTTGGGGAGCAGGATGGAAAACAGCAGCAATGGGCCATCCTCTTTATTTTATGGTTTTCAGTTTTTATTAATCTGTACATTTTAAGTTTATTGCAATAACTTGATTGAACAGAGAAGCCACTTAGTTTTGCCCTGCACAATCCTGAGACAACTCCTGCCTTCTCAGTCCATGTGCACAGCTCCCCCTAGTGTCTGCAGGACAAGCTGGGTGATCCACAGAAGCCCCACTGGGGATTCACGAGAATATACAGATGAGCCAGAAGACAACAAGAGGGATTGTATTTTCTCCCAGACTCTTTTCCGACACACAGACAGACAGGTGTACGTACAAATTTAGCATCTATGTTTTAAACCCTAAACTTATAGATATGTACAACAGGAGACATGTGCACAAATGTGCACAGCTGCTCTGTGTCGTAGTAGCAAAAAACCTGCAATCCAGGTCTTTGACAGAAAAAAAAAAAAAAAAGGCACTATTCACACAGTGAAATATACCACAGTGAAATGTGTGACCTACAATTATCATATGGTTTCACTTATTTGTGGAGCCTAAGAAATAGCATGGAGGACAAGGGGAGTTAGAGAGGAGAAGGGAGTTGGGGGAAATTGGAAGGGGAGGTGAACCGTGAGAGACTATGGACTCTGAAAAACAATCTGAGGGGTTTGAAGCAGTGGGGGGGTGGGAGGTTGGGGGAACCAGGTGGTGGGTATTGGAGAGGGCACGGATTGCATGGAGCACTGGGTGTGGTACAAAAACAAGGAATACTGTTATGCTGAAAAAAAAAATAAAATTATAAAAAAAAAAAAAGTGTGACCTAGACAGAAACAGGTATGACCCATTTTTATAAAGCTCAAAACCAAAAAACTAAACAACATGTTGGTTAGGAATATATAATACGGGGAAGAGCCTTTTCGGAATAAAAGCAACAGAATAATAAATTCAAAATTCAGAGAGCTGTTTGGAGGAGGCAGGCAGAGGCAAGGGAATGAGAAGGGGGAAAGAACACAACTGTGGTTTGATGGTGACCTTCTCGCTCCTGGATTGAGTGGTGAGCTCATGGGTGTTTGTGGCATTATGCTTTATAATGTGCACATATATGTAGATAAACCACATTTATTTGTAGATATCAAATATTAAAAATTTTTAAAGAGAATGAAAAAAAACTTTGAAGATATTTTAGTGTACTTTCACATGTTTTCTCTTTTTTTTTGGAAAAAAGAGCTCAAGTTATTCATAACGTTCTGTAATGTTAAGTGACCAATAGTTAATATTTTGTGATCAACCTTCCATCTCTAAGAATTCTATGTTCATTTTAATAGTTTATAATATCTAATTATAAGGAACAGTTAATGAACTTGAGGTACCAGCACATGATAGAATATTATATAGCCATTAAATAGTGTATTTATAAATTTTTTTTTCAAAGATTTTATTTATTTATTTGACAGAGAGAGATCACAGGTAGGCAGAGAGGCAGCCAGAGAGAGAGGAAGGGAAGCAGGCTCCCCGCTGAGCAGAGAGCCCGACTCGGGGGCTCAATCCCAGGACCCTGGGACCATGACCTGAGCCGAAGGCAGAGGCTTTAACCCACTGAGCCACCCAGGCGCCCCTGTATTTATAAATATTTTTAACAGTGTGGCTAGATGCTTGATAAGTAGGACAATGACATATAAAGTGTGATTTCAACTATACACAAAAATTCATTTAAAAAAAGCAAAGAACAGAATAAGCAGTGGTTATGTCTGGGTCTCAGCATTACAGGGGAGTGTTCTCTCCTTCTCATTTTTTTTTTTAATATTGTCCAAATCTCTGTTCAGAGAATGTAGTTTTTATAATTAGAAGAAAATTCCATTAAAATACAGATGAGGGACACCTGGGTGGCTCAGTTGGTTAATCGTCTGCCTTCGGCTCAGGTCATGATCGCAGGGTCCTGGGATTGAGTCCCACATCAGGCTCCTTGATCAGTGAGGAACCTGCTTCTCCCTCTGCCTGCTGTTCCCCCTGTTCATGCTCTCTCCCTTTCTCTCTGACAATTAAATAAATAAATCTTGAAAAAAAAATACAGATGAAATCTGACCTCAAAATCAGAGCTCCACTGGACATTCACAAACTAGGATTTGACCCAAAGGAAAGTCTGGCTAATGGTGTACACAAACACACACACCTTATAGAGCTATGCAGTCTGGTGACTCCCCTCACATGCCCCAGCATCACAGGCGTGGCTGTCACCAAAAGCAGAATATAATGAACAAAACCCACCAGAAGGGAGGGAAGCAAAACAAAAATCCCATGCTAAAGAACCGCACTGGGAACCTTACAGAATAGAAAAAGAGATCATACACATCTGTTTCACTAATTAAACAGCCTTCTCTGTGAATCTACTTACCGTCTGAAGAAAAGCAGGAAATGCTTTCACAGGAACACTTTTGTGGAAGGACCTAGCCTACAAAGGAGGACAAAAGGAAACTGGCTTCAAATGTAGATATTTCTGGAAATAAACACTCTGCCTCTGAAAGTGATCACAAAGCAACACTAGAAGTTTAACAACATGGCTACGGCCTCTTTCAAAGGCAAGAAAATAGCTCTCTTGCCAATTAAAATTAATTTCTTAAGCCTAAAGGACTTGGGAAAAAGTACTTTAATAAGAATCCCATTCTTCCTTGAGGATTGGCTTTGGCCTTTTCCAGCTGCCTTATAACATCTTACTACTTTGGCCCCCTAGCTCTCTAGTGAGGGGTGGTCTCGCATTCAGGAGACCCAGCACGGCCCTAGCTTAGATCGTGGGCATCTCCCGGTTACAGGAATTTAAGAGCCTCCTAAGTGATCTCCTGCCTGCATTCTCAACCTCTCATCAGTTCATACAGTTTGCCAAATGAACTTCCTTAGTCACTGTTTTATTTTTATGTTCTTTATCTTAACTCCCTGATACACCAAGTCTTATGTCTTCATTTTGGAGTTCCGAAGCCTCCACACTTGGTTCCGACCTCACCTATCCCACCTGGCTCACCAGGACCCCTGACTACAAAGCCGTGACCCACTCATGCGGAGCCCATCATCCCGAGCTCACCAAGCCCACTCCTGTCTACAGGTCTTCGTTTATATTGTCAGACATCACCTCTACTCCCTGACGTCTTTCCCCCGCATTCTGGTTTTACCCTCACCTGTCTATTAAAATGGCTCTTTTCAAGATCATTCACAATTTACTTAAACCACCATACCCATCTTTTCAACCTCTCTACGGCACGCAAAATTTTAATACTCCCCTTTCTTAGAATTTTCTCCTCCCTCAGTTTCCAAGAGAATGATTCTTAGTGCACCTACTTCTTTGATCACTAGTTCCTTCTCCTTCCAAATAAATGGTCCTTACTCCTTCAACCTGAGAGGCAGAGGTGGGCCTCGGGGTCTGCCCCTGGTCCTCATGTCTAGATGTACATTCTCCTTGGACAATACCATCCACACTTAGAGCTTTAACCATAGGCTTTCTATATGGATAACTCCCAAATCTCTATTTCTAGCTCTGGCCTTCCTTCAAAGTCACAATCCAGCAGTCTTCAATAGCCCCTCTCCCTGAATATTCTTGAATCCCCTTAAATTCAGTGATGACCCACAGGTGGTCCAGAGGCTACTAATCAGCACCGGCATGCCACTGCTTTCATGGTAGTCTCTGAATGGCACCTCACTACCTAAACTTGAATTCTGCAGCCTTCCCTCTCCCCGATCCTGCCACAACCCAGTCTGTCATCGAGTCTAGTTGATTCCACCTCTGTTGTGTGTGTATAAATCGGTATACACATCTACCATCTCTAAGTCAGATCCTCTTTCTCTCTGTCCTCAATAAGCCTCCTAACTGATCTACCACTTCCCAGATTCGTCTCAAACACTGCTGGCCAGGTTCTCTCATGTCCAGCACTACTGTCCCTGCTCTACTTGATGGTGACAATGAGGAAACATGTCACTTATGATATGCCAGGCACAGTTATAAAGTCTTTATACATGCTAACCCCATTTATCCAAATCACAGCCTTTTGAGTTAGGTACTAATACGACCTTCTTTCCCAGAGGAGGAAACTGAGGCACAGGGGTTAAGATCACGTGATTAGTAAATTGCAGGGCTAGGACTGAAAGTTCCCATTCCAGAGTCTGCACTCCCATCTCCCATCCTCCAGTGCCTATCAAAAGCCTCCCAAATTCCATACTCTTTCTTCAGCCTACCTTCCAAACCTGTTTTCCAGGGTCCTAGTTCACATAACCTGCAAACTAGTAGTTTTCAAACATGGCTGTTTAAAATCATTTGGAAATTTTAATTCCTGGCCCCATCCCAGATTTACTGTATCTCCAGGGTGTGCGGCCTGGGAATCTGTTATCTTTCAGGTGCCTTAAGTGTCCATCAACTGGGACTATTCAGGTTCCAACACAGGGCTTTCCTGCTTTTATGATTCTGTTGTGTTCTCAGATCTTACCTAAAACTCTGCTAATTTTAAGTAATTTCTCATCTAAAGTTCCATGTATTTTATTTATATCTCTGTCATGGCAGATAATTTTGCTTCAGGAAATTTTTTTTTTAAAAATTAAGATGTACTATTTGCCTTCAGAAAGCTTACAATCTGGTTACCTATTTACTACTTCACAAATATTTACTGAGTGCCTATAATGTTCCAGGCACTTTAGATGAAGCAATAAGATTAGAACCAAACAAAGTCACTTACATTCTATGAGGTGGGAAGGCATTAAAGAAACTTTTAGTATGTCAGGCAGTGAAAAGTGCTAAGCAAGGTAAAGGGACTGAAGGTGATGGAATGGGAGGATGTTATTTTAGATATGGTGGCCAGGAAAGATCTTTCTGATAAGGTCATATTTAATACTGACTATGGGGTTGGAGGGTGAAGGAGTTGAAGGGTGAAGAGCATCTTCCAGGCAGATAAACAACAAGAACAAAGGCCCTGAGATTTGCAGGTAAATGACAAGTGTTTAGGATCTACTGAAGCTCAAAAAAAAAAAAAAAAAAAAAGCAGAGGTGGGAGGTGGTTCACAGGAAGAAACAGCATCATGAGAATCAAAGAAATAGAAATTTCAACCAAGTTTTCAGGAGCCACTAAAATAAAGGAATAGTTTCAGGAGAATCAGGAAGGAATAGCATTGCTGGAATGAAGGACCTAGTTTCAAGAAGGCAGGGGGCTGCTGGCTGGCTCGGTCAATGGAACGTGAGAGTCTCGATCTCAGGGTTGTGAATTCAATCCCCACATTGGGTGCAGAGATAACTTAAGGATAAAATCTTAAAAAAAAAAAAAAAAGAAAGGAGCGGCAGGGAGTCAACAAAAGACAAATCACAGTGTGAGAAAACATGAAGAACGAACCTTTAGGAAACACCGAAAGTGGTATGCAGGAGAAATCAGGAACCAGTTTAGGAGCCAAGTCAGAGAACCAAGGGGAAAAGATAGCAGAAAGTTTCAAGGAGAAAAAAATGTGTGTGGTGCCAAAAGCAGAAAGAGTTAAAATGGATGAGAATTTTCAGTGCCCATTAAATGTGGCAATAGGATTATTTAGTAGGGCTTACTACTAGGAGGGAAGTGAATGATGGCAAGGTGAACAGTGCCACGGTGATGCTGGCGTTGAGGGAACCATGAATGTGAACCACTTACTCACAAAAGTTTTACTGGGAGAGGAAAATGAGCCATGGAAGGGTCCACAGGCTGCCCAGAAAGGGGGCGAATTATCACGCCAGCTGTGGACGCTGAGAACATGAGCTCCTGGGAAAGGAGCCATCAGCCCTGGCAAGGCAGAGACACGCCCTGGCAAGGCAGAGACACACCCTGCCCCCTGAGAGCGAGAGCTGGCAGACGCACAGAGCAGACAGGAGCTCAGCAAGGAAGGATGGGTTCAGCCACTGAGAGGGAGAAAGGGGGACCGTAAAAAGCAAGAGCGAGTTCACAACAGGCCCTGAGATAAATCTACTGGGATTTCAGCGAGAAACAGAATAAAGGCTGGGGATAACAACCAGTCCGTAAGAACGGCCATGTCTAGACATGGTCATCTCTTACCTGGTTTGGCCAAGAGGCTACTTACATGCTTCAGGTGCAAGTGTGCCTGACTGGCAATGTCATATATCACATCTCTCACATTTTTATCTTGGTTCTTCCGTAGAAAATCCTCTTGGGAAACACCATGCTGGGTGGGAAAGTACATATCACATTAGGAATCTAAAGGCACACTTTAACTTAGTTCAAGAAAAACAGGTGGTAGAGAGTGTGTTCAGTATAATGCCTATTCTGTTTTGAAAATATATGTATATGCACGTGTGTGTATACAGACACACATACACACACACACTCCTAGAAGAATATGCAACAAGATGTTAGTTCACCACCGTTGCAGGTAGAACAAAATTTACAAGCAAGAAAACAAACACATGGATCCATCATGGACCAAACTGCCTGATTGATAAAATTCTGACTTGCTAACCAGAGCCAAAAAGCAATCAGTATTCGTTTCAAAGCGGTTACTTGAATAGATGAAGCAAAGAACCAAGAGACCATGGCCCTCCCCAAGTTCCCAAGGTAAATCATGAGAGGAAACAAGTAACGGTCTTACCAGCATACAAATATCCATGGGAAGGAACACCCTTCTTCTGCTTCCATGATAGGGCGTTGCTCTCAAGCAAGTCACAATGCCCTGGGCTTTTCCAATGTGACTCGCGGCATGGTCTGCATGAAGGTCCTTTACACCTACGAGTTCAGAAATTAAGCGACAGGGCTGCTCTTTACTCCTTAAATACACAACAACTCAATAGAAGCAGCTTGGAGAAACCACCTACACATGGAAAAGCAGGTGTTGATCCCATGTTTTATATCTGAAAAACAGTACTTATTTGAGCAAAACTGGGCATGAGAACAAGCTGTTTACCACTGAACAGGTTTCCAAATCTCAACTTTTAAATGAAAGAGTCTTCGTTGGACTACAGCACACCGAGAACACATTTGGAATTTTAATCAGCTGTCTTGGAAAAACATTACAAGTCTTCCATTTCTTCTTTTCAATGCCATTTCCATATGACCTCATTTTAAGTATACGCTTGACAAACATTCTGCTCTTTGCTCCCTCCTTTCATTGTGTTGGCAAACATGTCCCAGGGTGTACAGGCCGAAGAGGCCTGGGAATCTCAATAGGGACTTGTGTTATTCCTTTAGGGTGACTGAAAGATATACGACCTTCTTCAAAAGAGAGGCTATTGTCTTTGGTCGAAATAATTTCCTCATTACAAGACTTCACCAACTTAAAGTCAGATGAGAAGTATCTAAATTCGTTATATTTATTTTTAAGAGGAAAGAAAAAAAACTCATAAAAACTTTGAGAAATGCAGTTTTATATTTTCTACTCTTTTTTTTTTTTTTTAAACATGGGGAAGTATTATCCACAGGGAAGGAAGAGTCAGGCCCCAGGCCTTTCAAATTGTAGGGGATGCTTAAAAAAGGAAAATCATCTGCAATTACCAGAGTATTAATTACAGCATTCCCATGAGGTAGCTAAAGTACTTTTATGAGAGCTTGAGTATTTTGATTAGTCTGTACTCCCAAGAAAGCTACATATTCCCCCTCTTCGGGGAATAAAAGAAAAAAGAAAAAACTGTTCATTTATCGGTGGTACAAAGAAAAACTTCGGTGTTACACTGACCAGACTATCAAATTATGAAAAAGTCAAGTCTGAAGGGTATTTTCTTTGAAAAAGAGAATATAAAAATAGAAAAAAGACTCACCCAATATTTCTAGTGTTAAGTAAAGAAGAGCGCTCTGTGTGTTTTCAGCGTAATTTTCCAATTCCTGGATATTACGATATGCTCTGTCATCCAAATTTTTTTCCTATAGTCAAACAAAATGGAAATAAAGTTTGATGAATTGTTAATGTATTTTTTTTTTAGAAAAAAATTTTTTTTAAGATTTTATTTATTTATTTGACAGAGAGAGAGAGTATAAGTAGGCAGAGTGGCAGGCAGAAGGAGAAGGAGAAGCATGCTCTCTGCTGAGCAGGCAGCCCGATGTAGGCTCAATCCCAGGACCTCGGGATCATGACCTGAGCTGAAGGCAGACACTTAACCAACTGAGTCACTCAGGTGCCCCCAAATTGTCAATATTTTATAAAGAAAAGGTACCTTTTTTTCCCTTAAAGAACTAAAAAAGAACTTTAAAAATTGTATATTATTTAGTAAACAATAAGATTAAAATAAAATTAAAATATTAAAGTCCTACACATTCAATACTTACAAATCACCCCTCAAAATAATACCTTGGGAATAATGTCAATGCACCAATCACCACAACCATGTGGTTAGCTTAATTTTTAATTCCTTTGAAAGCCCAAGGAATACTGAGAAACAAACTTAACTGAGTTCTCATTAAGCACTTTAGACATTATCTTCTTAAACCTAAAAACCTCCTCCCAAAAGATATGGGATTAATGCTTTTTCCATGTTGCAGATAAAGAAACTGAGCCACAAATATATTATGCAATATGCCCGAGGTCACATAGCTAGTAAATGGTGGGGTTAGGATTCAAACCCATACATTTTAACTGCCAAGTCAGTATTATTAATAAAAAAGATGCCTAGAAAAGGAAAGGAGATCATAACCAGATCCCACCCCAAAGAAACCATGTTCAATAAAGTAACAGGGATGATTACGTTACCTGATCACACTATATTCCAGAAACAGAAAAATGTAAATCTCAGAGCAAGAACATCTGGCTGCTGCTTTTATAATATTATATTTACAAATACTCTATTGCTAAGGAAATACACCCTCCCCTCCTGTTTTTTGTTGTTGTTTGTTTGTTTGTTTTAGAAGAAAATGGCACCAGCAATTATCCCAGGGGGAAAAACTTATGTCTAGTCCAATCTTTTACATTTTTTAAAAGTTGAGACTTAATTCACATACCATAAAATATACCCTTTTCAAATGTACAATTCAGTGGTTTTAGTACCTTCACAAAGTTGTGCAACTATCACAGAGATCTAATCCCAGAATGTTTTCCCTACCTCAAAAAGAAACCCTGTATCCACTAAGCAGTTACTTCCCATTTCCCCCTTCCCTCATCCCCCAGCAAACCACTCATTTACTTTCTGTCTCCATGGATTTGTTTGTTCTGGACATTTAATAAAAATGCAATGATACATGGGGCGCCTGGGTGGCTCAGTTGGTTAAGCGTCTCCTTCGGCTCAGGTCATGATCTCAGGTTTCTGGGATGGAGCCCCGCACGAGGCTCCCCGCTCTGTGGGGAGTCTGCTTCTCCCTCTGCCTGTCCGTCCTGCTTGTACACACACTGTCTCTCTCTCTCTCAAACAAATAAATAAATAAAATCCTTAAAAAAAATGCCGGGATGTGATACATAGTTTTTTGTATCTGGCTTCTTTCAGTTAGTAGATTTAAGGTTCATCTGTGTTGGAGCCATGTATCAGTACCTGTTCTTTTTAACTGAAGAAATTATTAAGAATATTACATTGTATGGATAAAAACATTATATTTTTACTCATTCATTGACAGACTTTTTCCCACTTTTGGACTGTTACGAATAATGCTATGAACATTCATGTGCAAGTTTTGTACACACACACGTTTTCATTTCTCTTGAGTATAAATACAGGAGTGAACTGCTGGGTCAATGGTAACTGTGTCTAACTTTCTGAAGAACCGCCAAACTGTTCTTCCAAAGCGGTTGCGCCATTTCCCATTCCCATGAGCAATGCATGAAGGTCTCTAATTTCTCTACATCCTCACCAACACTCGTTACTGTTATCTCTTTTATTACAGCATCCTAATGAGTGTAAAGGCGTCATTTATTCTGGTTTTGATTTGCATTTCCCTAATGAAAAGATGCTGACATCTTTTAGCTGCTTATTAGTCATTTGTAGATCTTCCTTGCAGAAATGTTTACTCAGATCCTTTGCCCAAGTTTAAACTGGGTTATTGGTCTTTTTATTGTTGAGTTATAAGAGTTCTTCACATACCCTAGATACTTGTTCCTTATCAAATATGTAACTTGCAAATACCTTCTCCCATTCCATGGGCTGCCTTTTCACTTTCTTGAAATTTTTAATTTTGTTAAAGTCAAATGACCTGGGTTTTTTTTCTTTTATTGCTTAGGCTTCTAGTATTGTATCGAAGAAATCACTGCCTAACCTGAAGTCCCAAAGATTTATGCCAGTGTTTTTTCCTAAGTGTTTTAGTTTCAACTCTTGCATGTAGGCGTTTGATCTATTTGGAGTTAGTTTCTGTACATGGTGTTAAATAGGCATCCAAACTCATTCTTTTACATGTGGATATCCAGTTGTCCTGGCATTATTTATTGAAATGGTTATTCTTTCCCCATTGGACTGTCTTCACACCCCTGTGAAAAAAAAATCAATTAACTATAAATATATGGGTTTATTTCTGGGCTCTCAATTCTATGCCATTGATCTATATGTCTATGTCACGCCATTACCCCAGAATCTGATTATTAACTTTGGAGCTAACTTTCTTCTTTTTCAAGGTTGTTTTAGTGATTCTGGGTCTCTTGCATTTCCATGTGGATTTCAGGATGAGCTAGTCAATTTCTGCCAAAAGGCAGCTGGACTCTTTATAGGGGCTGCATTGAATCTAAATCAATGTGGAAGACTGATTCCAGTCTTTTAACCATCCCTCCCTACAAATGCCAAATGTCATTTTCCATTAAACCAAAAAGTTATCTCTGTCTTGAATTCTCTGTCTTTACCTCATAAAAACAGAAAACACCTTTGGGGCTTGGGTGGCTTAGTCAGTTAGGCCTCTGACTCTGTTTTGGCTCAGGTCATAATCTTATGATCTTAGGGTCATGAGATCAAGCCCCCCCCCACAACACACACACTCCACACTCAGTGGGGAATCTACTTGAGATTCTCTTGCTTTTCCTCTGCGTTCCCCACTCAAATGCACTTGTGCATGTGCTTTCTAAGATAAATAAATCTTAAAAAAACAAACAAAACAGAAAACACGGGAAAAACAGATCTTTTTAGTGCCAATTAATGCTGTAGGCCAGCTGAGCAATTTTTTTTTTAATGCTGAATAATTATCTCCCGTTTTGGCTTACATTATAATTACTATAGCCTATGGATATTAATGGGTTGTATCCAAATAAACTAAACATATTTTCATGTCAACAGTATGTGATAAATATCAGGCTGATGAGGACACTAAGCCAACAATGTGTCAGAAAGATTACATAAGTTAGCCCAGGACAGAGAGCAATTTGCATGCTTCATTGGACCTAGAACTCAGTTCTTAGAATCCAGTGTAGTACTCCATTCTGTGGAACCATCAGACTTTCCTTATTCCCTCTACTATCTGGACAGAGATCCAAATACTGGGTGTACATAAAGGTATGTGCAGGACTACTTAAGTTTGGATGGTATTAAGGAACTATCTGTCATTTTTTAAGGTATGATCATTTATTGTGGGTACGTTTCCTGAAAGCATTTTTTTAAAAGATTTTATTTATTTATTTGATAGAGAGAGAGAGAGGTCACAAGTAGGCAGAGAGGCAGGCAGAGGGGGAAGCAACCTCCCTGCTGAGCAAAGAGCCCGATTCAGGGCTCGATCCCAGGACCCTGAGATCATGACCTGAGCCCAAGGCAGAGGCTTAACCCACTGAGCCACCCAGGCGCCCCTGAAAGCATTTTTTTAATCTTTTCAAGATACATATATATTTGCAGATCAACTAATATGCTATCTGGGATTGACTTAACAATAATCCCTAGAGTTTAATGAGAGGAGTTGGTAGAATATAGATGAAACAAGAGTGGACATGTGTTCCTAGCTAAAGCTGGGTTACAAATACATGAAAGTATATTACATTCTTCTCTCTACTTTTGTATAAGTCTGAACATTTCCATTAAAAAAAAAAAAAAAAAAAAAAAAAAAAACTGGGGCGCCTGG